GAACTCATTTTTTTTCTATTTTTCTAGTATTTATTCTAAATTATGAACTAATCTCAAATAATTACCAAAATTAATTAAAAATTACTTATGCTTCGTTAAAAATTAATTTCTTCAGATAAATAACTACCTTGAGGCTAGTGAACAACTATATAATTAATTGGAATGAATTCATCAACAATAACTATTTTATTTAATTTTTGGAAGTAAATGCGAAATACTTGAAAAATAATCTGGAAATTTTCGAAGAACAGATTGAACAAACAAAGTGCAGATTCAGATTCTACTCGTTGAGAAGATGAAAATACATATAAAGAACTTACAATTTGGAGCTAAAATGAAGAAGATATGAAGATTTGAAGTTTTTCTCTCTCTAAGACCCTTGGAGCTCGAAAATGGAGAAAGAAAGAAGGTGTTTTGAACTGATTTAGGGTTGGAAGAGGTGTGTTTGAGATGGGGAAAAAGCCTGCTATTTATAGCAGAAATTTCACCGAAGGCGCCCAAGAGGGCGGCCGCCTTCTGTCGGAATCTGGCCGCCTTCCGTAGGCGGCCAACCAGGCGGCCGCCTTCCGCCTCTCTCCGGCCGCCTGCCGTCTTCGTCGCCGACAGCGGTCGGTGGCCGGTCCCCGTCAGCCGTAGGCGGCCACAGAGGGCGGCCGCCTTCCGTCACCCATCGGCCGCCTGCCGTCTTTTCATGTCAAATCGGATCCCGGCGGATCCCGGCGGATCCCGGCCGCCGCAGGCGGTCCAGCAGGCGGCCGCCTGCCGTCCTGTCTGGCCGCCTGCCGTCCTGTCTGGCCGACCGGTGGTTGGTTTCGTCCCCTTCTGCCGTAGGCGGCCACCGTAGGCGGCCGCCTTCTGTCCAGTGTCGGTAGCCTTCGGTCTTTTCCTGGTCCCGGGTCAAAGCGAGGTTGACTTCTGATTTTTCCCGTAGGCGGCCGCGAAGGCCTCCATTTTGGGCGCCTATTTGGGCGCCTTCTGCCATTTTTGTCTGGCAGATGCGGCTTTTCCTGCTCTTCATTTTTGTCTTCTGAATCACCTTGATACAATGCTTGCTTCTTCCGGTATAAGTGCATTTGTCACTCAAATTGACTCATTTTGTGCTCAATTGACCCGAAATCCCGCTAAACATATTATGGATGTGATTTTCACCTGATTTCATGAAACTTGAACCAAAATATATAAAATGTGTCTTTTCTTTCTATTTTCATTCAAAAATCGCTTAAATTTGATAAGAAAAATAAGTACAAAAATGGACTTATCAATCTCCTCACACTTAAGCGTTGCTTGTCCTCAAGCGACGAATTAGTTGTAAACACACTCAAAAGGTAAAGTCTAACTGTATTACAATCTAGTTGCTATTTTAAAGAAGTAGAAACAAAAACCTCTTATTTTTATTCTCAATCTTTAAACATTTTAGAAAAATCACCCAAAATACAAGAATTTAAAATTAGTATTACTTAAGAAAAACTATTTATTATGTTAAACCACCAATCAATTCCTTATCCCAAGGTTTTCATTATTCTAATTTGGACATTCATTTTGTTCACCATTTTTTTTTTTTTTATTATTATTTTTTTTTTTATTTTTTTTTTATATTTTTTTTTTTTTGCTCTTTTTCACTCTTGTTGGCGGTGTTATCCCATGGTAAATGCATATTTCATTCTCACAGACTGTGATTAACGAATGAAACAGAGCCCCTTTTCGGAGATGGAATTGTCCTATAACAATGAGTTTTGAAGAGGTTTATTAATATAAACTATCATTTTTTTTTTTTTTTTTTTTTTTTTTGAATAGAATGAATGTCCAATTAAAACAAATTCAGCCCTTTACATTCACAACCAAAAACCCATAACAGATTTAAGTTTTCTAAAAATAATAATAAAAGTAAATTCTTATAATAAGGGTGATTACCTAAACTATTATGTGATTGATAACAAATTGAGAAATTAATGTTTCATATCAAAAATAGTAAAAAGATTGTTCTAAAGCAAGGTTTTAACTTTTTTTTTTTTTTTTGAGTGTAAAACGCAACCTCCTCACACTTGAGCTAGACCTCGCCCTCGAGGTCTTCTTTTAAGGCACAAAACCTTGAAATAAAGACACATTTTTTTTTTTTTTTTTTTTTTTTTTTTTTTGGTTCTTTCCTCACACTTGAGTTTTGAAAAGATTTTGTGAAGAGGAATAATGAAACAGGAATAAAATGGTTTTTTTTAAAATCCTTACATCATCCATAGTCAGTTTGTAAGAGCATTCAAGTCAAAAGAGCAGCGCAATGTCCAACCTGAAGAAACAAACAAACACAATAAAAAAATGTCAAGGAAGAAGCAAAACTAAGCATCGTCTGGTCCAGAATCATGGGAGGAAGGAGTGTGCGGTATTGCCCCCATGTCTGGAAGCGTCTGCGATCAGCAATAGTAGCAAATGGGATATCAGGCCGAGGTGGCGGGTCTTCCCGTCCTAGTGGTGGCTCCTCAAAAATGGGATCGTCACGTCTTCCTCCAGACATCTGCAAGAAATAAACAAAGTAAAATATTTTTGGGTTAGTTTTTTTTTTTTTTTTTTTTTTTTTTTTTTTTTTTTTTGTTGGGTTGCCTCCCAATTAGCGCTTCTTTAACGTCACTAGCTTGACGAATGTCCTCCCTTGGTTCAAAATTTTTGGAGATAGAGAATCTCCTTGCTTTTTTCAATTGGGCCACCATGGTACAGTTTAAGTTGGTGGCCGTTGACCTTAAAGGGGCCCCCATTAGCATCTTCAATCTCAACCGTTCCGTAGGGGTAAGCTTTTACGACTTTGAACGGTCCGGACCATCTTGACTTAAGCTTTCCCGGAAAAAGCTTCAACCTGGAGTTGAACAACAGCACTTTATCCCCAACATTGAAATCACGAGCCTTGATGTGTTGGTCATGGTAGAGTTTGGCTCGTTCCTTGTAAAGTTTGGAATTATGAAAAGCTTGCGCTCTCCATTCTTCCAGTTCATTCAGCTGGTAAAATCGTTCCTTCCCTGCAGTATCCAGTTTAAAACAGACATTTTTCATCGCCCAAAGTGCTTTATGCTCGAGTTCGACGGGTAAGTGGCAAGACTTCCCGTATACAAGGCGAAAAGGTGTGGTTCCGATCGGGGTTTTGTATGCAGTCCGAAATGCCCAAAGAGCGTCGTCAAGTTTAGTCGACCAGTCTTTCCTGGTCTGGGCAACAGTTTTCTCCAGAATGGACTTCAAATCCCTGTTAGCGTTCTCCACTTGTCCCTGAGTCTGGGGGTGGTACGCTACTCCGCTTCGATGTTGGACTCCATATTTGGCCAAAATTCTGGCCATTGGATCATTGTGGAAATGAGTCCCTCTATCGCTGATCAAAACCCTGGGCACACCAAATCTGGTAAAGAGCTTTTTCAGAAAATTCACGACTACTCGAGAGTCGTTGGTGACACAGGCCTGGGCTTCGACCCATTTAGAAACATAATCAATGGCCACAAGAATGTATTTGTTTCCTCTTGAGCTTGGGAAAGGTCCAACAAAGTCGATGCCCCAAACATCAAATACCTCACAAGGTAAGATAAAGTGTTGGGGCATCTCATTGCGCCCAGAAATGTTCCCGATTCGTTGACAGTTATCACAAGAAGAAACAAATACATTAGCATCCTTAAAAATCGTGGGCCAGAAGTACCCACAGTCCAAAACCCGCCTTGCGGTTCTATTCCCTGAAAAGTGGCCCCCAGTAGGACCGCTGTGACAATGCTCTAGAATGTCCCTTGCCTCAGCTTCAGTAACACATCTTCTCACCACCTGGTCAGCACAAATTCGGAATAGATATGGATCATCCCAAAAATAGTGCTTTGCTTCTGATAGGAACCGCCTTTTCATGTGCCTTGTCAGTTCGGTAGGCTCGACTTTACCAACAAGGTAGTTGGCAATGTCGGCATACCACGGTGTTTGCTCCTTGGCGGAAATCGCCATCAATCTCTCAGCAGGAAAAAGCTCCTCAATTTCGCATTTTCCGAAAGTTTCTGCTAACTCGGCATCTAACCTCGAGAGGTGATCAGCTGCCTGATTAGCAGATCCTTTTCGGTCCCTGATTTCAATATCAAATTCCTGCAACAAAAGAACCCAGCGTAACAGTCTAGGCTTAGCATCATGCTTTTGGAGGAGATATCTAATGGCCGAATGGTCGGTATAGATAATAACCTTCGAAAGGATGATGTAAGTCCTAAACTTCTCTAAAGCACAAACAATAGCAAGGAATTCTTTTTCAGTGGTGGTGTAGTTGAGTTGTGGCCCTGACAGAGTTTTGCTAGCGTAGTAGATTGGGTGGAAGTTCTTGTCCTTCCTTTGACCAAGGATGGCCCCCACTACTAAGTCACTAGCGTCACACATGAGTTCAAAGGGTAAGCTCCAATCTGGGGCCACAAGCACAGGTGCATTGATCAGTTGTGTTTTAAGTGCTTGGAAAGCATGGTGACATTCATCAGAGAATATAAAAACCGCATCTTTTTCAAGTAACCGGGTGAGAGGTTTTGCGATTTTAGAGAAATCCTTTATAAAACGACGATAAAAGCCCGCGTGTCCTAAGAAGCTGCGGATGGCTTTTACCGTGGTTGGTGGAGGAAGTTTCTCTATTGTTTCAATTTTTGCACGGTCCACCTCTACCCCGTTACTTGACACTTTATGTCCAAGTACTATACCCTCTTTCACAAGGAAGTGACATTTCTCCCAACTTAGGGCTAAATGGGTTTCCTTGCAGCGGATAAGTACTTTTTCCAGGTTTTCAAGGCATTTTTCAAATGTTTCCCCAAAAATAGAGAAGTCATCCATGAATACCTCCATGAAGTGGCCAATGTATTTTTCAAAAATGGCAATCATGCACCTCATGAAGGTGGCAGGGGCATTACAGAGACCAAAAGACATCCTACGAAAAGCAAAGGTCCCAAAAGGGCATGTAAACGTAGTTTTGTCTTGGTCTTCCGGGTTGACATGGATTTGGAAGTATCCACTCATGCCATCCAGGAAACAGTAGTGACTATGGCCTGCCAACCTCTCTATTAATTGATCGATGAAGGGAAGGGGAAAATGGTCTTTCCGGGTGGCTTCGTTCAGTTTGCGGTAATCGATTACCATTCGCCACCCGGTAACAGTTCGACTGGGTAGAAGTTCGCCCTTTTCATTTTTCATGACGGTCATTCCCCCCTTTTTGGGGACAACATGAATAGGGCTTACCCACTGGCTATCAGAGATGGGGTAAATGATACCTGCATCCAGCAGTTTGACAATCTCGGCACGCACTACTTCCATCATGTTTGGGTTTAAACGTCGTTGTGGTTGGACAACTGGTTTAAACCCTTCCTCAATTTTGATGGTGTGGGTACAAAAGGTGGGGCTAATTCCATTGATGTCCTCAAGTTTCCAAGCAATTGCTTGCTTGTGTGTCTTAAGGACTCCAAGTAATTTCTCCCTTTGTTCCTCACTTAAGTGTGCGGCGATGACGACAGGGCATTTGCCTTCGTCATCCAAGAATGCATATTCTAAGTGGTCGGGCAGTTTCTTTAGTTCGAGGGGGTGGTCGTTTTTCAAGTTTTGTTCATTTTTCTCCCCTTCAAACTCAGTCAATACTTCGTTAGAAGCTTGATCAATCAGCGCATCCTCACAACTCTCACATGCATCACTCACATCACTGTTGGCCTTTTTTAACAGACATGCCTCATCAGTTACATGTCCATTTTCTTCCCCAAACAGATACCCTTCAATAGACTCAAAGGTATCAAGAAAATGACATCCTTGAAAGGAATCTGTGGGGTGTTTCATAACATCTGAGAGTCGGAAGGTGCATAGATCATCTCCGACTCTTAGAGTTAATGAGCCATCAGTGACATCAATCAAGGCCCTGGCGGTAGCCAGAAATGGCCTTCCCAGAATAAGAGGTGTTTCCCTATCCTCTTCCATGTCCATTACTACAAAGTCGACTGGGAAAATGAATTTGTCAACCTTGACCAGGACGTCTTCAACAATTCCTTTCGGATATTTGACTGAGCGATCAGCCAGTTGAAGACACATCCTGGTGGGTTTCATTTCCCCAAGTCCTAGCTTCTCGACTATAGAGGAAGGCATCAGATTGATACTTGCCCCTAAGTCAGCTAGAGCATTATTGAAGTTGAAATTGTCTATAGAGCAAGGGATAGTGAAACTACCTGGATCCTTTAGCTTTTCGGGTATTGACCTCAGAACCACGGCCGAGCATTCTGCGTTTAAGTCCACGACTGAGAGTTCCTGCAGCTGCCTCTTGTTTGTCAGCAAGTCTTTGAAAAACTTGGCATATTTGGGCATTTCCGCTAGGGCATCCATCAGCGGCAGGTTGACGTGGAGTTGTTTGAGTAGGTCCAGGAATTTGTTGTACTTCCTGCTATCGTCATCATTTCTAACCCGTGAAGGAAACGGGAGAGAAGGTTTGACGATAGTGACCTTTGTGTTAGGGCGTGTTGGTTCCATGCTCTTCTCAGTTGGAGCATCAGTTTGTTTCTCAGGTTCCATGGTTGGGGTACCTTCCTCTTCCTCGTCTTTCTGCTCAGCCACGGTTGTTTGTCTCCCGCTTCGGAGAGTGATGGCTTGCACATGTTCACGGGGGTTTGGTTCCGTGGTGCTAGGCAAGTTGCCTGGCTGACGACCGGGAACATTGTTCTGATTAATTTGCATTATCAGATTTTTGATCTGATTGTCAGTGCTGGCCTTGTATCTTGACATTTCCTCCCGTGTCCTTGCCAGTTCTGCAACCAGCAGGCCTATCTCTGATGGTTGGGCAGCCTCCGTTTGTCGTTGATGTGGAGGCACATAAGCCTGGTTGTTCTGTTGGGCTGGTGCACCTCCCTGGTTCCGACTCTGGAAGTTGTTCCCTTGATTATTGTTGGGGTAGTATTGATTACCTTGATAACCGCCGCGAGGAGGACCATTGTTGTAATCCCCCCGCCATTGGTTACCTTGGTAATTCCTCCCTTGATAATTTTGAGGAGGGTAGTTTGAGTTACCCCCCCGGTTGCCTTGATTCGCCCATGGCCCTTCTTGTTTTGTTCGGCCATACTCCAGCAGGTTCACCTCCCTGTTGTTGCTTAGATTACATTCATCAACTAATTGACATGAATTGGTCAAATGTGGACCAAAACATATCTCACATGAGAGTACAAGTTCAGTTGAATGGGAAACAGGTGAAAAAGTATTAAATTGAGATGACTGTGGGACAGAGCTTGAGTTCCCGAAGTATCGGGATGATTGTTGATTTGGGACAGCACCGATGTTGTTGACTTGGTTGGTGTGATTGTTTTCATTCTTCAGATTCTTTACTTCCACGACCAACCCTTCAATCTTTGCTGTTAAGGCCGTGAGTTGGTCAACTTCAAGATAACCTGGTTTTGTTGCTGCTGGAGTTCTTTCGTCATACCAGTATCTTGCATTTGAAGTGACCTTCTCCACCAGAGCTTCGTTGGTGTTGGGTGCCATGTCAAGGAATGATCCCACCTGAGAAGAGAAATCAAGTTCTTTTTTGCTACTAACTTGAAGTCCATTGTAAAAATGGAACATCAAGCTACTAGAATCCATCAGTGTGAGTGGACATTTGTTTCTCATATCCTTGAAACGATCCCATGCTTCACTTAAGGACTCCATCGGGAATTGTCTAAAATTTTGAATTGCTGTTTTAATTTTAGCAACTGCCGATGGAGGAAAGTATTCTTGCATGAATGCTTGGTGCAGTGCCGCCCATGTTGTGAAGTGACCCGTTGGAAAGCTATTCAGCCACAAAGATGCCCTATCCCGTAATGAGAAGGGAAATAGGGTCAACTTTGCGGCGTCGGAGGTCACTCCGTTAAAGCGGAACGTTTGGCATGCTCGGGTGAACCACAACATGTGGGCCCTAGGGTCATCTTGCTTGGACCCGCCAAATTGATGATTGGACATCATGTTGACAATTGCGGGTTTGATCTCGAAATTGGCTGCCTCGATTGCCGGTGCGCTGATACTATCATCCTCGATGAAGTTTGGCGTAAGATTTTGCAACACCGTCCTTTCTCCCGCCATGCTTGGTTTCTTGTGGATTGAAAGGTTTTTCCACAAAGTTCGTTCAGGTTCAGGATCAAGTTCAATTAGACCTTCCACTCCTTTAGAGCGAGTGTGCATTCATTTATCCTGAAATCTTTATACAAATTGTCGCAAGGGCGAAAAAGTCTCCCTAACTAGAATTCACCTATGCTAGAATTAAATCAAGAAATAATCGTGCCATTCCCCGGCAACGGCGCCATTTGATAGCCGCTTTCGCGGCGTTGTAGTAAAACGGAGTCTAACCTTTCGGTTTTTCCCCGAGTGTCGTGTCTCTTGAGGAATGGCGGAGAAGTTTCTTAATTTAATTTTAGTCACGGGCTATCGCTAATTGTTGGAAGCTTTTTCAATATAGGAAAGTGATTTTGTTCTATATTACGCTAAATTATAACTAGGAGCAAGGGCAATTTAAAGATTAATGTATTAAGATTGAATATTCAAGGATGCAAATAAGGGCAATGAATTGAGTAATTAGAAATGGATATGTTCTTGGACCTCTTAATTAGGGAAATTAAAACTAAAATTGGACTAATAATTTCTTTCCTCATAGACAAGAATAGAAACTATCTTCATTAATTTATCCTATTTCTAGGTGTCATTAATGTGTTTAAAATGGTTGGCTTAAATTATTTTCTAAACCCATAGACAAGGTAGAAATAATTTTCCAATATTTTAATTAATAAAAATAGCCAAATTCATTAACTAGTTAAACTCTTTATTTTAGCAATTGAATTTATTTCTCATAGACAAGATGTAAATCCTTTTCATTAAATTATCCTATTTCTAGGCCTTATTAATGTGCTCAAATATGGTTGGCTTAAATTAATTTCTAATCTCATAGACAAGTTAGAATTAATTTTCCAAGAATTTAATTAATGAAAATGGCTAACTATTATTAATTACTATTTCATCATTTCAAACAACTAGTCCAATTTATTAATTTTAACCCCTAATTTTAGGTCAACAAGTCAATCCATATTCCTTTTCTCAATTCATGCCCTAACAAATTTAGCTACTCATCACCATTTTTGCAATTAACAATATAATGATTAAATTCAACATTAACAAGGAATTAAACATGTATGATAGCAAAAATTAAACAAAAATTATATTCTGGAACAATAAACTTGTAGGAACTAAAATATAACTTTCTGGAATTTTTCACCAATTTTTGAACCTAAAATCCAATTTTTGACAACTAATTGATAATTTTCCCAATTTTAACTAGAAAATGCAAAAAGCAACTAAAAATATGCTAACTTCGTTATAAATTTTATTTTAGCTACTGGGAGTGATATTACTATGAATCAAACTGAAATTAGGGCCGAACTCATTTTTTTTCTATTTTTCTAGTATTTATTCTAAATTATGAACTAATCTCAAATAATTACCAAAATTAATTAAAAATTACTTATGCTTCGTTAAAAATTAATTTCTTCAGATAAATAACTACCTTGAGGCTAGTGAACAACTATATAATTAATTGGAATGAATTCATCAACAATAACTATTTTATTTAATTTTTGGAAGTAAATGCGAAATACTTGAAAAATAATCTGGAAATTTTCGAAGAACAGATTGAACAAACAAAGTGCAGATTCAGATTCTACTCGTTGAGAAGATGAAAATACATATAAAGAACTTACAATTTGGAGCTAAAATGAAGAAGATATGAAGATTTGAAGTTTTTCTCTCTCTAAGACCCTTGGAGCTCGAAAATGGAGAAAGAAAGAAGGTGTTTTGAACTGATTTAGGGTTGGAAGAGGTGTGTTTGAGATGGGGAAAAAGCCTGCTATTTATAGCAGAAATTTCACCGAAGGCGCCCAAGAGGGCGGCCGCCTTCTGTCGGAATCTGGCCGCCTTCCGTAGGCGGCCAACCAGGCGGCCGCCTTCCGCCTCTCTCCGGCCGCCTGCCGTCTTCGTCGCCGACAGCGGTCGGTGGCCGGTCCCCGTCAGCCGTAGGCGGCCACAGAGGGCGGCCGCCTTCCGTCACCCATCGGCCGCCTGCCGTCTTTTCATGTCAAATCGGATCCCGGCGGATCCCGGCGGATCCCGGCCGCCGCAGGCGGTCCAGCAGGCGGCCGCCTGCCGTCCTGTCTGGCCGCCTGCCGTCCTGTCTGGCCGACCGGTGGTTGGTTTCGTCCCCTTCTGCCGTAGGCGGCCACCGTAGGCGGCCGCCTTCTGTCCAGTGTCGGTAGCCTTCGGTCTTTTCCTGGTCCCGGGTCAAAGCGAGGTTGACTTCTGATTTTTCCCGTAGGCGGCCGCGAAGGCCTCCATTTTGGGCGCCTATTTGGGCGCCTTCTGCCATTTTTGTCTGGCAGATGCGGCTTTTCCTGCTCTTCATTTTTGTCTTCTGAATCACCTTGATACAATGCTTGCTTCTTCCGGTATAAGTGCATTTGTCACTCAAATTGACTCATTTTGTGCTCAATTGACCCGAAATCCCGCTAAACATATTATGGATGTGATTTTCACCTGATTTCATGAAACTTGAACCAAAATATATAAAATGTGTCTTTTCTTTCTATTTTCATTCAAAAATCGCTTAAATTTGATAAGAAAAATAAGTACAAAAATGGACTTATCATTCTCTGGTGGGACTTTCTCATGAATAACCTTAGTACCAGAGGTACTAGCATGACAGATGGGGCTACAAGTCTGTGATACCATAACCTTTTTGGCTTTAGCAACTTGGGTGCTAGGCCTTACAGAAGGTTCACCAGACTTGTGTTCAACATATCCAAGACCAGAGGTGAGATTATGAGTATCATCAATACTCTTTATTGAAGATTGCATCTTCAAAAGACTATCATATCTGATTTCAAGATTCTCAATTTCCCTTATTCTTTTTAGTAGAGACTCATTTTCAACTTCCAGTTTGTCTCTTTCCTTAATTAAGAGATTAAGTTTGCACTCAGTCTCTTTTCTTAAGTCAGAGATTTCTAACTTCAGTTTACTGTTCTCCTCTTTAATCAAAGAATAAGTGTCTTGGATAGTTTTGAACTCTTCCCAAAATGATGACATTGGATCATCATTTAAGGTTGTGCCTACCGAAGAAGAAATAGAATTAGCAGTCGAATATACCTCATCATCAGATTGAGCCATGAGGCAGAGGTCCTCTGTCTCTGTATCCAGGCAGCAAAAAGCTTCATCAGAGTCAGACTCAGAACTGGACTCTGATTCGGAAAGTGGGTCTCTTTCAGCTTGTTCTGAAATGAGTGCCTTCCTCCTTCTGTGTTGTTCTTCATGTTTCTTCTCTTCTTCTTGTCCTTGCTTTTTGGACACTCTTGGAAATGGACAGTTGGCCTTGAAGTGTCCAGGCTGTCTGCAGTTGTAGCAGAGGTATTCTCCATTATTTTCAGAAGATTTGGTCTTCTGATGGGGTCTTCTGATGGAAGATGGACTCCTTCCATCCTTCTTCATAAATTTCCTGAATTTCCTGGCAAAGGCAGCCATATATTCGTCAGATAAAAGAGTAGAAGGGTCAAAATTGTTTACCTTAGAGGTGCTGGCAGTGAGGGCAGTGGTGGTTCTCTCGTCTGGCACTTCTTCTTTCTCATCATGCATCTCAAACTCATAAGCTTTGAGATCAGAGATC